TTACAGTCTGAGGGAAATGGGATCATATTCCTTTCTTTAAATAATCAATTTAAATTCTTTCTGAGTAAATCCTTATGATGTAATAACATTAGAGATCTTATTCTGTTTACCAGATGTTTAGCAAAATATTTTGAGTCTGAGCCATTCCTTTCAAAACAAAAACAAAAACAAATCCAAGCAAACCAGTATTTTCAAATTAAATCCTCTAAAGGAGGGAGTGATACACTGAGGTAGAGTCTTATCTCACATCACCTCGTGTTACTTCGCCTTCTGCCCAACTTTTTCCTAAATAACTAAGTCTAAAGATCCCTTATCAAGGAGACACTCAGCAGCCCCATAACTGCTGAACTAGCTTCAAACATTGCCCTTGTTCCCCAGAGAGCTCATTCCCTATGGTTGAGGATTCACAGAAACCTTTGAAGAAATTTTTTAACAAATAAAAGAAAGTTTCTCTGAAATTTTTCTGGCCACAAGCACAGCAATTACAAAACCAGTTTCAATTTTGCCTGTTCTCCACCTGCACCCTTAAATCCTCATGCCAGTGGATGGAAAGAAAAGGCAAAACTGAAGGGACCACAAGAGGTGGCTTAAAAGAAAGAATTTGCTGAGATGCTTGTAGTGTCCTGTAACTAGTTGATGTTTTTAAAGCTGATTAAAGGGAAAATCTTTGCTCTTTCTCCCAAGTATAGACTTAGTTGGGGGTTGTGCCATGGGGATTGGCTTGTGGGTGTTTTTAAAGTGTAGCAGCGAGCACCCTTGTGGCTCTTAACTGCTCGACCCGTGCCCATGAGGTTGCAGCAAAAGCTTGGGAGAGAGGGCAAGGCTCCTGCTTATGAAAGAAGGTACAGTTGCAAAGCAGTCACGAGAAAGGGTGACCTAGGAAGAAAACGCTTTTCCTCTGAAATCCAACACACCCTACAACCTTCCTGAAAAGCACTTGGGGTCGTCGGTCCTTACCTGGGCTGATGCACACATACTGAAACCAAGTTGGTGTCTTGTCCACAATGATGGCTCATAGCCCTGAATCCCTGTTCATGGGCAGCAGCTGATGTGGACCCTGGGTCGTGGGGTCTGAGACATTGTGGATGGAGGAGAGACATTCACACGGACTACCAAGTCCTATGGAGGAAAAGGGCAGGCAGCTTCTCTCTCAAGAGGAGCCAAAAACTGCAACCTCTGCCATGACAAGCCTTTATTTCTTTTCTCAGCACATTACATGATGGTCCTCATTTACTTGCACAGGTTGGCTTTAGGTGGTCACCTTTTACAGAAAACAAAGGAGCTGATGCTGCTAATCACATCACAGAAGGATATTTGCAAATGAAAAGAGAAAAGTAGTTGAACCAGTTATACTCATCCTTGGAAAGTTTAGCATGGATTTTAGGAAGTTACTTTGCAGTAAATGTTTGCTGCAAATCAGGGTGAGGGAGTTTTAGCAAAAGCAAGACTTAAAGCGGCATAGGCATATTGCAGGCCTGATTCCCCACAGGAGAACCTCTCCGTGGGCATGGGTCCTGTGCATTTCCAAGTGGGAGCTGGGCCCATGCCATGCAGAATGGTCTCCTACAGTCTTGAATTGGATATGAGGTGGGAACACTTCCACAACACCACTATTGAGACTTACATAAGTGTATTTGCATGTATGCATAGAGCTTAACAAACCTCTGCTCTTCATTTTCTACTTCATTAAACTTAATGGGTGTGCTGAGACTCATAAATGAGACAGTTATGAATGTGGTCACAACCATGTAGGTCTGTTTAAAATCAATCTCACCCCTGCCCTGTGAATGTACAGAAATCATCCATTGCAAAATTATAAGAAATATTTCATATAGAGAAATGGTTTAATCAAGCACTCTCTTTTCCAGATTTTAGATGTTTTCATAAAGCATTTTTAAAATCAGAAAATACTAATTTTTTCCTTAAGATCTGAACTTTTGAATAATGTCTTCACCTCAGTCCTTTTCCCAGGCATAGAACTTAGGAGATAGTAGCGTATGTTGCAGATACTCTGAGGCCAGCAGGACTCAAAGGAAAGACCACAGGATGAATGGACACAAAATTGTGAGAGTAATTGTTATCATTTCCTATTTCTTAAATCATAGCTCATGCACAGGGAAAGCCACAGTCATCATTGAAAGACTGTGTTATCAGTAAAGCCCTGAAACACCGAAGTATGATTTTTGGTCATTGGTTATATGGCCCAGGGTGGTACCCTGTACTAAATGATTCAGGTGTAACTTTTAGCATCAAACTCATAACTCAATCCTGGCCCTGTTACATCTAGGACATCAGAGTGTGGCCTAATCATCGGGGGCTTCCATTTATCTCTATATACAGTAAGGTAATAGCTACTTGAAGGATTCAGTAAGGTAGTGGGTATAAAACGTTTAGGACAATTTTGATGGTTGGCATACAGAATATGCTTCATAAATGGTAGCTTTTTTATTATAGTCTCAAAATAAACAATAGACATGAACTCCACTATAGGATCCACTGACTCTTCTCTTGCCAGAGGTTACCTCTGTCTATTCCAGTCTCTGGACTATACTATTATACTAGTTTTCTATTCTTGTATAACCAATGACCAAAAATTGAGTAACTTAAAATAACTGTATTTATTTCTCAGTTTATATAAATCAGGTATTTGGGCACAGTTTAACTGGGGGTTCTATTTAGACTTCCGAAATTAAGGTGTTGGCCAGGCTCTTTTCTCACCTGCAATTCCTAAGGTCAAAAAGTCTGAAATGGATCTCACTGGGAAGTTGTCAATGTGTTGGCAAAACTTCATTCCTCCTAGAAGCTCTAGCAGAGAATTTGTTTTCTTGCTCTTTTGAGCTTTGAGAGAACTGCTCACAATCTTTTGTCTCAGCTATATCACTGCATCTTCAAAGCTAAGAACTGTGACTTGGATCCTCATATTATATCACTCCTACCTGTCCTGCCTCCCTCTTCTAAATTTAACAATCATTTTGATTATATTGGGCTACCTGGTCAATCCAGAATAATTTCTTTATTTTAAGGGAGGCTCACTAGTAACCTTAGTCATATTTGCAAAAGTAACTCATCTTTGCTGTGTAAGTAACATAACCATAGTTCAGAGGTGTTAGAATGTGGACCTCATTAGAGGACATTATTCTGCTTACCATACATACTGAATTAGACATGAATTCAGCTACCTCTGATTTAACAAGCCCTCCAAGTAATTTTAATGCACACTTAAAATTGAAAACAACTGGTCTGCATCAACAGGGTCTGAAACAATTAATTTATAAGACACAGGTGTCAACATCTGTTCAGTAGCAAGAGTTAGGACAAAAAGGATTATTAGTTGTTAAGCTGTGTTAAACAAAATATTATAGAATTTGGGAGGTACAAGCAATAGGAATGTTTTTTTTTCTGGTTAGAGCTTCTAAAATCTGCATTCTATCCATCAAAAAAAAATTAGGAGAAAGGTAAATCTTACCATACCATCAAAGAAAATGTGAACCATGAATTAATGCAAGTGGTGTACCTCAGAATCCTTTGTAATTAGTAATAAAATACCACAGGTAGGTAATGAGGAGGTGGTTCCAATGTTTTGAATCCAAGAAGTTCAGGATAAAAAATAGTGTTTGTAAGTTAGAGAGTGGTGTATTGATCAGATAGAAATGTTCACTTTAGTAGTATCTGGCCACATTGTTGTCAAGTATGTTCTCATAATGTGATTTGAAGCACACAGGTCACATTTAATGCTACACACAGTTTGTTACATACTATAAGAGCTAAATAGCTAAATAAAAATGAATGAGTGCTCTCTTTTTCCTTTCTAAGATTATGACTTTCTTTCTCATTGACCCAAGGTAGCTGTTTGGTTGGGAGGATGAGGAAAAAGGAGGAGAAAAAGAGAGATTAGGATTTGTTACATAATTAATTCAAAACCTAAGCTCTGGCCTTTAAAATATAAAGATTAGACAAGATTTTTCTCATTTTTCACACATCAGGGCCAACCACTGAGGACTCTGGACATAAATTTATTTATGGGGAAAGAATTACCTATTTTTCATTGAAGTCTAGAAAAAAAGGAGGAACCTACCAAAGTCAATTGTTTTCAAACATTAACTATATCAAAATAACCAGAACAGCTTGTTAAACTATAGACCCCTGGGTCCTACCCTCAGGAGATTCTGTCTCAGGAAAGCCTGGCACTTCTCCTCCCTGGACTATTTTTTAATTTAGATTTTATGGTTTATGCTGTTACAGTTGTCACTATAGTTCCCCCTTTCCTTGCCTCCACCTAGACCTCACAGTCCCTCATGCAATCCCCACACCATTGTCCATGTCTGTGGATCATGTATATACATTCTTTGGCTACTATATAGCTTATGCTGTATTTTACATGACTGTTCTGTAACAGCCAATTTGAATTTATTTTTTATTTCATTATTTTATTGTTGTTCAATTACAGTTGTCTACATTTACTCCCTACTACTCCCTCCATCCCAGCCAACCCTTCTTCCTCCCTTGTTTCTACCCTCCCTTGGTTTTGTCCATGTGTTCTTTATAGTTGTTCCTGAAAACTCTTTCCAATTTCCCCCATTATCCCCTCCCACCTCCCCTCTGGTTACTGTCAGCTTCTTCTTAATTTCAGTGTCTCTGGTTATATTTTGTTTGTTTGTTCATTTTGTTTAGGTTCCACTTAAAGGTGAGATCATATGGTATTTGACCCTCACTGCCTGGCTTATTTCACTTAGCATAATGCTTTCCAGTTCCATTCACGCTGTTGCAAAGAGTAGGAGCTCCTTCTTTCTCTCTGCTGTGTAGTATTCCATTGTGTAAATGTACCATTGTTTTCTGATCCATTCATTTACTGATGGGCACTTAGGTTGCTTCTAGCACTTGACTATTGTAAATTGTACTGTTATAAACATTGGGGTGGATAGGTTCTTTTGGATTGGTGTTTCAGGGTTCTTAGGATATAATCCCAGCAGTGGAATTGCCAGATGAAAAGTCAATTCCATAAAAATATGGAATGCTTCACAAATTTGCATGTCATCCTTGCGCAAGGGCCATGCTAATCTCTGTAGCATTCCAATTTCAGTATATGTGCTGCCAAAGTGAGTGCCAATTTGTATTCCTTAATCCTTTCATCTTTTTCTCCCATTCCCCCAAACCCCTCCATCTGGCAACCATAAAAATGTTCTCTGTATCTATGATTGTTTCTTTTCTGCTTGTTTATTTTGTTTTTTAAATTCAATTATTGATAGACAGGTATTCATTGCCATTTTATTGTTTATATTTTTAATCTTCTTACACAAGACCCTTTAACATTTCATATAATACTGGTTTGGTGGTGATTAACTCTTTTAGGTTTTTCTTGTATGGGAAGCTCTTTATCTGTCCTTTGATTCTAAATGATAGCTTTACTGGGTAAAGTGATATTTCTTGTAGGATCATGCTTCTCATCACCAAATATTTTTTGCCAATCCCTTCTAGCCTGCAAAGTTTCTTTTGAGAAATCAGCTGACAGTCTTACAGGAGATCCCTTGTAGGTAACTAACTGCTTTTAAATTGCTGCTTTTAATATTCTCTCTTTGTCTTTAATGTTTGGCACTTTAATTATGATGTGTCTTGCTGTGGGCTTTTTGGGGTTCCTCTTGTTTGGGATTCTTTGCACTTCCTGCACTTGTATGTCTATGTCTCTCACCAAGTTATGGAAATTTTCTGTCATTATTCTTTTTTTTTTTTTCAAATAGGTTTTCAATTTCATGCTCACTTTTCTTACTGTCCTGATTGGGTCGGGGTTTTTTGTTATTGTTGTTTTGTTTTGTTTTTTGTTTTCTTCCTATATTCCAAATCACTGATTTTATTCTTGGCTTCATCCACTCTACTGTTGATTCTCTGCAAGCCATTCTTCATTTCAGTTAGTGTCTCCTTCATTTCTTACTAGTTCTGTTCTTTTTTATAGTTTCCATGTCCTTTTTTAATTCTGGTGAGGTTTTCTCTGAATTCATGTACTCTGCTTCTGAGTTCATTGAACATCCTTATAACCAGTGTTATGAACTCTGCATTCAGTAGATTGCCTGTCTCCATTCTGTTTAGTTCTTTTTCTGTAGTGTTGTTCTGTTCTTTTATTTGGGCCATGTTTCTCTGTCTCATCATTTTGGAAGCCTTCCCCATGTTTGTTTCTATGTATTAGGTAGAGCTGCTATGACTTTCTGACTTAGTGGAGTGGCCCAATTTAGTAGGTGTTCTGGAAGATCCACTGACACAGCCTCCCCTATCTCAAGCTGGATACTTGAGGTTCACTCACTGTGTGGGCTGTATACATCCTCCTATTTTTGTTGAGACTTGACTGCTGTTTTCAGGTCAATGGGAGGAATTTACCCAGTCCAATCATCTGCAAGGACTGGCTGTAGCCACTGGCCACCAACCTTGGATCACTTTGAAGGATCATCTGTGTAGGGGCCACTCCACAGTGCAGGACTTACTTCAGCAGTGCTCTGGTGCCCTCTGAGTCTACCTCTTAAGAGTGTCACTTGTGGAAGTAGTTGGGTGGTAGTGCTCCAACATGGTCTGTGGTTATCCTCTAGGTGTACAGGTTCTGAGGCCTGCTGGAAAGTTCAGGCTAAGGTCAGCCACTGCCTATGTACTATCTGGGGACAGCAGGCATAAGCTACAAAGTGACCTGCAGATGGCTGCTAACTGTGCTGGTCTTGGAGGTACCCAAGTGAGGTCAAGCTGTGAACCAAGGTTAGCTGCTGATAGTGCTGGGTTTGGGGCCACTTGGTAAATGATATGGGGCTTCCTGATACCATATGTTGCTTGTTTGAGATAATTTAGGAAAATCTGAAGCATGAGCCAAGATAAGCCATTCATATGGAAAAGCCACTGGAAATAGCTTGGATGGACCCAAAAGAATAGAGCCTCATGGAATCACCAGAGTGGGGAAAGCAGTGTGAGCCATGATTCTGTAGTCTCAGATATGGCACCTGCCTACCAGCTCTGTGTGGAGAGGGTTCACAAAAGGAACAATGGCCTCTGCTGGCAGTTCTGTGTGAAAGAAACTTGCCCCCCAGCTCTACCCCTGTTGCCAGACACTTCAGTTCTTCCTGAATGCCTCTGGTGCCTTTCAAACTGCTGCCCCTGTGTTGGAGCTCAGTGGGAGTAAGTACAAGTAAGCCCAGGCATGGACCCTTTAAGAGTAACTGCTTTGGACTCCAAAAGTTTCTGTCTTCCACATCTCAGTCCCCATTGGTTTTTGCAGCCTGAATTTATTGGGGCCTACTTTCCTGGCACTGGAACCCTGGGATGGGGGACCTGGTGTCAGGCTGGGACCTCTCACTCCCAAGATGTCCTTCCTGATTTTTATCTACCACACATGAATGTGGGACTAGCCTTTTCTATGTCCCTGCCCCTCCTACCAGGCTTGATGTGGTGTCCTCTTTAATTCGATAGTTGTAGGACTTCCATTCAGCTGGATTTCTGGCAGTTATGAATAATGGTTGTTCTGTAATTTAGTTGTAATTTTGATGTGGTTGTGCAAAGATGAGAGCCGTGTTTACCTACATCACCATCTTGACAGGAAGTATCCCTTCTCCCTGGAGTTTAGGAAACAAGAGGGAGTAGGTAGAAAATGGTAAGGTAGGTACATATTTCCCAAAATAATATTCAACCCAGAATGCTAAAATGAGTTAAATAAATTGGGGTAATTCAGAGGTATAGGAAAGAGTTATGTTTCCAGCATCCCCATTCATGATTTTCAAAGTTCAGTGCTTAAAGCCCAGTGCCAACATAGTACATTCTAGCCCAGATAAAGGAGCAGAATAGTATGGTAAGACAGAAAGAGCCCTAGTTGTCACCTTTGAGCTACCCATAGGCTGCAGTAGGGCAATGTGAGACCACACTATGGCAGTCTGCTGGATGTGGGCTTGGATAGAGGGTATAACAGAGACATGGTGTGCCATGGCCACCAGGAGCAGAGAGGAGACCATGGTCAGCCAGTGGGAGATGAATGATGACACCCACGTTGCATCAGCTGAGCTGAAACAACAAACTACATTTCATTTGTCAGACTTCAGCTTTGGGTGCCAATAGGGAAAGGAAAACTTGGATACAAAGAATATTACACAGATAATAGGGAGAGCCTCCAAAGACCTACCTTATGGTCACATAACCAGCCCACTCCCCAACACCCAGACAGCACTCAAAGATCAGCCAGAGGAAAAATGAGACAGAATACTAAGAATGGAGAGTCAAGGCTGAGTATTAGCAAAAGAAAAACTTAAGTCATCAACAAGCACTAAGTTTTAAAAAGGTAAATTTAGAGCCCTGGCTGGCATAGCTCAGTGGATTGAGCACGGGCTGTGAACCAAAGTGTCACAGGTTTGATTCCCAGCCAGGGTACATGCCTGGGTTGCAGGCCATGACCCCCAGCAACCACACATTGATGTTTTTCTCTCTCTCTCTCTAAAAATAAATAAATAAATAATCAATTTTTTTAAAAAAGGTAAATTTAAGAGCTAATTTGTTCATACTAATCAATATTTTATTGTATATATGCAAATGATGGTAAAATGGATGGACAACTTGTATCCATGCCCACAGAGCAATGGCTGCCCTGAGTGTTGTGTTGAGGTTTTGAAAGTTTCCAGAGGCCTTGGTCATTTAGCATGACTACCCTGTTTAGGAGGGTCAGGTAGCTAGCTCCTGTAGTAGGGAGTTGCCGTCACTGGTATATGCTACATTCTAATTTTAGTGACTCAAACTAAACACAAGTTCATAAAGATAGTAAAAAAAAAAAAAACACCTTTCTTTGGCCCAATAAATGTATCTTTTAACAACAAAAATAAAGTGAAATGCCTGACTAATTTGAAGCCTCAGTAATTAAGCCAAATATTTATCATTATTTTCAGACTGAGAGGAAAGTAGGGTATCTCTCTTTCTTCCTCAGCTTCCATGAACAAGGACAGCAGAGAAACAAGGAGAATGAGTGAATTTTCAACAAATGTGTGGGGCATTTAAATGTCCAGCAAAGGTTCAGGGAGAAATATGTTTGGTAAGAATAGTAATTGTTAAGGCCACTTACTGAATCATTTCAGTTGTGAACTGAACCCCCAATGGAAGGTCCAAAGACCTTCCACCACACAAACACATAGTGAGCCAATTCCCCAACAACCAATGCATTAATGAGACATAGGGTGGATGGATTTGATTTTTGCTACTGGTGACACCTAGTGTGAGTATTGCACAATATTCCTACCATTGGTAACAATGAAAATGCATTTCTTCTGGTGTATTTCTCCCACTTTTGGGGATTCCCCCCAATAATCCCTGAGTTTCTGATCTTTAAAAAGTTTATTGAAATATGTTTTTGTGAAAGAAGTAGTTTTTACTGAAATGTGCATGGTATAATGTGCGCAGCTAAATTATTGATATTTAGGACCATAAATAAATTGTACTATGTCTGACTCAGTTATGGGATGTATTCCAAGAGGTTTTTTATTATATTCATACAAATTTATTTATTATGTTGCAATGAATTTTAGAGATCATTTACAAATAATTCTGTCAATGCCATGGCTTAATTTAAAAATGTATAACCCTTATATACAGGGTGGGGAAAAACAGGTTTACAGTTGATAATATGAGAAATAATTCAATAATTAATAAATAATAATTTGAGAATAAATTCTGTTTTTTATACTCACAACATTAAAACTACATATATTCAATAACTATATAGTCAAAGGTTTGGTTATAAAGGAATTGGAAAAGTTGTGGCAACAAAACGTTAGTTTGCCTGCATATTTTGAAGAGGTTGCTTTTTCTGTATAGCTTTCTTTTGTTTGTCTCCAAGTAATTATTAATCCACTTGAAGGAATTGATTAAATTCTATATGATTATTATTTTCATATTTATTGTTTGCACATCAGAATCTAATGACTGCATAGTACACCAACAATTTATCAAAAATGCTTGGGAATATGATGCTTTTTCAGCTAATTCAGTTTCCTGGTAAGTTCGGGCTTCAATGGCAAATTCTTTTTTTTTACCCTTGTGAAGAAACCTTCTAAAATACATTATTCCACATTAGTAACTACAGTATACCAAGGATTGACATTT